AAGCATCTGACTTGACTCAGGTCATGTTTTTAAGGTTCGTAGTTTGAGCCCCACATCAGGCTCTGTGCTGACCGCTCAGAGCCTGGAGCCTGCTTCAGATTCTGTGTCTCCCTCTCTCTCTGGCCCTCGCCTGTCCGTGCTCTGTCTCTCTCTCTCAAAAATAAATAAACATTAAAGAAATTTTTTTTTTAATGAAAAAAAAATAAAAACAACTTTACCAAACAATCTGTGCCATTTTGTGATTTTAGGGTATCTGTCAGCTGTTGGTGCTTCTACAAATGGTCCCGAATGTATAGGTTGTCCTGTAAAACATTAAGAATAGTCCTGATAGGGGCGCCTGGGTGGCGCAGTCGGTTAAGCGTCCGACTTCAGCCAGGTCACGATCTCGCGGTCCGTGAGTTCGAGCCCCGCGTCGGGCTCTGGGCTGATGGCTCAGAGCCTGGAGCCTGTTTCCGATTCTGTGTCTCCCTCTCTCTCTTTGCCCCTCTCCTGTTCATGCTCTGTCTCTCTCTGTCCCAAAAATAAATAAACGTTGAAAAAAAAATTAAAAGAAAAAAAAAAAAAGAATAGTCCTGATAATTATCTCAGAAAAACTTATATGTTTGCTGAGGGAATGCTATGAAAAGAGAAAGTATACACTTCAACTTTAAGGATCTATTTATTTGAAGGATATCCATGTTTGCTTCAGTATTGGTCTTTTTTAAATTCTCTCAATGCATGTGTCTACAAATTCATCAGTTTGAAGACTTTGCCTTTACCAGCAATAATTACTATTAGGGGACAAAAAAAAAAAAAAAGAGTAACCTAATTGCAAGTCAAATTCTCTGGATTAGCACTCAAGAACTACTGTTTTCAGTGTATACATTTTTCACCTCTTCGTTAGATTTTTTCCTAGGTATCTTATGGGTTTTGGTGCAATTGTAAATGGGATCGATCCCTGGATTTCTCTTTCTGTTGCTTCATTGTTGGTATATAGGGATGCAACCGATTTCTGTGAATTGATTTTATATCCTGCAACTTTACTGAATTCATGAATTGGTTCTAGCAGTTTTTTGATGGAATCTTTTGGGTTTTCCCTATAGAGTATCATGTCATCTGCAAAGAATGAAAGTTTGACCTCCTCCTGGCCGATTTGGATGCCTTTTATTTCTTGGTGTTGTCTGATTGCCGAGGCTAAGACTTCTGATACTGTGTTGAATAACAGTGGTGAGAGTGGACATCCCTGTCTTGTTCCTGACCTTAGGGGGAAAGTTCTCAGTTTTTCCCCATTGAAGATAATATTAGTGTTGGGTCTTTTGTATATGGCTTTTATGATCTCGAGGCATGATCCTTTTCTCCCTACTTTCTTGAGGGTTTTTATCAAGAAAGGATGCTGTGTTTTGTCAAATGTTTTCTCTGCATCTATGGAGAGGATCATATGGTTCTTGTCTTCTCTTTTATTGATGTGATGAATCACATTGATTGTTTTGTGGATCTTGAACCAGCCCTGCGTCCCAGGTATAAATCCCACTTGGTCGTGATGAATAATTTTTTTAATGTTTTGTTGTATTCAGTTGTCTAATATCTTATTGGGGATTTTCACATCCACTTTCATCCGGAAAATTGGTCTATAGTTCTCCTTTTGGATGTAACAGTTACTTTGTTTTGTGAGCCATGAACTAGGAGAATTACTCATCTGGTGATGTTGCAAATGCTGATAACCTGTAGCACTAAATGATTTTCTTTAAATTTTTTTTGATGCTTATTAATTTTTGAGACAGAGCATGAGCAGGGGAGAGGCCAGAGAGAGACACACACAGAGAATCCGAAGCTGGCTCCAGGCTGTGAACTATCAGCGTAGAGCCAGACACAGTGCTCAAATTCACAAACTGTGTGATGATGACCTTAGCTGAAGTTGGACGCTCAGCTGACTGGGCACCTCCCAGGTGCCCCCACTAAATGGCTTTTTTGTAGACTGAAAGAATTACCTGCATTTCTTCAGGACCTGCTTGTTTTCTATCTTAGAACTACATAGTAAGTTTCTATCCTGTCCTCCTAATATACTGATTTCCTCTAACACTCTTTTGGGAATATGTTCCTGCTTGTGGAATCCCTGAGTGATGAGTTAATTACACTGGTGAACAAAAAGTACTTACCTTCTGAGGGGCCACCATCATAGCAGATCACCATTTGGCCTAGGGGACAGAGCATGGGACTAGGAATTAGATTCCATTTCTAGTCCCCACCTTTCCCACCTCCTGACTCAGTTGATGCTTTTATCACTCTGGACTTCTGCTAGTTCCTTTGTAAAATGAGGTGAACTAGATTGGCGGTTCTTTTTTTTTTTTTTTTTTTTTAAATCCAAGTTATTTAAATCCAAGTTAGTTAACATATAGTGTAATAATGATTGCAGGAATAGAATTTAGTGGTTCATCACCTACATATAACACCCAATGCTTATTCCAACAAGTGCCCTGCTTAATGCCCCTTGCCCATTTAGCCCATCCTCTACCCAACACCCCTCCAGAAACCCTCAGTTCTCTATATTTAAGAGTCTCTTATGGTTTATCTCCCTCTCTGTTTTTTTTTTTTTAACGTTTATTTATTTTTGAGACAGAGAGAGACAGAACGGGGGAGGGCCAGAGAGAGAGGGAGACACAGAATCTGAAACAGGCTCCAGGCTCTGAGCTGTCAGCACAGATTCTGACGCGGGGCTCAAACTCACGGACCGCGAGATCATGACCTGAGCCGAAGTCGGATGCTTAACCGACTGAGCCACCCAGGCATCCCTCCCTCTCTGTTTTTATATTATTTTTGCTTTCCTTCCCTTGTGTTCATCTGTTTTGTATCTTGAATTCCACATATGAGTGAGGTCATATGATATTTGTCTTTCCCTGACTGACTTATTTCACTTAGCATAATATATTCTAGTTCTATCCATGTTGCAAATGGCAAGATTTCATTCTTTTTGATTGCTGAGTAATATTGCATTGTGTATATGTACCCCATCTTCTTTATCCGTTCATCCGTCGATGGACATTTGGACTTTTTCCATACTTTGGCTATTGTTGATAGTGCTGCTATAAACATTGGGGTGCATGCACCCCTTTGAATCAGCACTCCTATATCCTTTGGATAGATACCTAGTAGTGCAATTGCTGGATCATAGGATAGTTGTATTTTTAATTTTTTGAGGAACCTCCATACTGTTTTCCAGAGTGGCTGCACCAGTTTGCATTCCCACCAGCTGTGTAAAATGGTTCCTTTCCTCCACATCCCCACCAACATCTGTTGTTGCCTGAATTGTTCATTTTAGACATTCTGACTGGTGTGAGGTGGTATCTCATTGTGGTTTTGATTTGTATTTCCCTGATGATGAGTGATGTTGAATGTTTTTTCCATGTTAAGCATGTTTCATCTGTTTTCATGTGTGTTAGCTATCTGGATGTCTTTGGAAAATATCTGTTCATGTCTTTTGCCCGTTTCTTCACTGGATTATTTGTTTTTTGGGTGTTGAGTTTGATAAGTTCTTTATAGATTTTGGATACCAGCCCTTTATGTGATGTTTCATTTGCAAATATATTCTCCCATTCCATCATTTGCCATTTAGTTTTGCTGTTTCCTTTGCTGTGCAGAAGCTTTTTATCTTGATGAGGTCCTAATAGTTCATTTTTGCTTTTATTTCCCTTATATCCAGAGATGTGTCAAGTCCGAGTTGCTGCAGCCAAGGTCAAAGAGGCTTTTTCCTGTTTTCTCCTCTCAGAGTTTGATGGCTTCCTGTCTTATATTTAGGTCTTTCATCCATTTTGAGTTTATTTTTGTGTATGGTGTAAGAAAGTGGTCCAGGTTCATTCTTCTGCATGTCACTGTCTGGTTTTCCCACCACCATTCACTGAGGAGATGATATTATTCTACTGGATATTTTTTCCTTCATCAAAGATTAGTTACACATGTTCATGAGTCTATTTCTGGGTTCTCTATTCTGTTCCATTGATCTATGTGTCTGTTCTTGTGCCAGTACCATACGGTCTTGATGATTACAGCTTTGTAATACAGCTTGTAGTCAGGATTGTGATGTCTCCAGCTTTGGTGTTCTTTTTCAGGATTGCTTTTGCTATTCTGGGTCTTTTCTGGTTCCATACAAATTTTAGAATTGTTTGTTTTAGCTTTGTGAAGAATACTAGTGTTATTTGTATAGGGATTGTGTTGAATATGTAGATTCCTTTGGGTGGTATTGACATTTTAACAATATTTGTTCATCCAATCCATGAGCATGGAATGTGTTTCCATTGTTTTGTGTCTTCTTCAATTTCTTTCATAAGCTTTCTATAGTTCTCAGGGTATAGATTTTTCACCTCTTTGGTTAGGTTTATTCCTAGGGATTTTATGTTTTTTGGTTTAATCGTAAATGGGATTGATTCTTTAATTTCTCTTTCTGTTGCTTCACTGTTGGTATATAGGAATGCAACTGATTTCTCTGCATTGATTTTATATCCTGCAACTTTACTGAATTCATGAATAAGTTCTAGCAGTGTTTTGGTGGAATCTTTTGGATTTCCCGTATAGAGTATTGTGTCATCTGCGAAGAGTGAAAGTTTGACCTCCCCCTGGCCAATTTGGATGCCTTTTATTTCTTGGTGTTGTCTGATTGCCGAGGCTAAGACTTCTGATACTGTGTTGAATAACAGTGGTGAGAGTGGACATCCCTGTCTTGTTCCTGACCTTAGGGGGAAAGTTCTCAGTTTTTCCCCATTGAGGATAATATTAGTGTTGGGTCTTTTGTATATGGCTTTTATGATCTCGAGGTATGCTCCTTCTATTCTTACGTTCTTGAGGGTTTTTATCAATAAAGGATGCTGTATTTTGTCAAATGCTTTCTTTGCATCTATTGACAGGATCATATGGTTCTTTTCCGTCCTTTTATTAATGTGATGAATCACACTGGTTTGTGGATATTGATCCAGCCATGCATCCCAGGAATAAATCCTATTTGATCATGGTGAATAATTATTTTAATGTAGTATTGGATCTAGTTGACTAGTATCTTGTTGAGAATTTTTGCATCCATTTTCATCAGGGAACCTGGTCTGTAGCTCTCCTTTTTAGTGGGGTCTTTGTCTGGTTTTGGAAGCAAGGTAATGCTGGCTGTATTGACAATTCTTTAACTGGGATGACCTCAAAATCAACTCTGCAGCTTTACATAACAGACAAGTTGTTCCCCTTATGAGCTTCATGGTAAGGGTCTCAGCAGTGAAGCATCATCATATGTATTGTAGTGTCCTGGGTTCTGCTGATATTCACTAAGAGCTAAGAAACCTAATTGTTTTCAGAGGACTTCTCTAGCATTCTAATTAATGGCTCTTTGTATTTAACATTAGCATTAGAATAATATTTAAGGTATCAAGTGAATATAACAATTTGCATCCACAGATGAAACAAGAATTTAAAATCCAGTTGTGTCTCAATAATATATAATCAATAAGTATCATTTATCAAAATGAGTGTGACATAGACCCTTCAGCTAGATCAAGGTGTAGAAAGAGATAGGGAAAGGAGAAATTTGGGGCAGGTTTTCATTTTTTTAAATTTATTTTTTAGTTTTGATTTTAGGAAAAGCAGCATTACAAGCAGCATTACCTTTACTCCCGTAAGGAAAGAACTAGGTGAGCTATGTGATCAAGAGAGAATAGGCTTCAGCAAAATGTTTTGCTCAGAGCCACCGTGGTCTGAGATGTGAGGGCAAGAAACAGATGTGCTTTGGCAGTGAGAGGACGTCAGTAAGCACTGATGCTTTGGAATTGGTTTGCATTCCAGAATGTGTCAGAGGGAAGAAAGGACCCTAGTAGGGAAGAAAGACAATTAAAAAGTCCACTTAGGAACTCTGAGGAGTGAAGAGATTTCAACAGCAGAGTCTTATGTGGAGGGTTCTCTGGAGAACTTTAGTAGGGAGTGGCCAGCTTGGGAGACAGTAAGGCTACTGTGCGAGAATAGTAAGTGAGAATATCCTGTGAGAGAAAAACAGGTCAGGGCCTGAGAATAGAAAGCTACTAGGTCAAGTAAAAACCACCTTCTCTTATTCTCTTCCTGCCTAACCCAAGCAAAGGCTGGTAGAGTAGTTCTCTCACTGGGGAGGAAATTTTCTCAGGAAAGGAGCTCTAAGGAGAGATATGCCTCGTTTTCAAAGGCAGGCAGCCAGCCAGCCAGCGAGTACTACTCCAGTCTGGAGAGGAAAGATCATCGCTAACATTTGTAGGACCAAGGCAAGAATACACATGAAGTCCACATGTGAGAGTTCTAAGTAAACTTTAATACATCAAGTTAGGTTCAAAATAATGTCCTCTTATCCTACTTTGACAAATCTAAGTAAACTTTAATACATCAAGTTAGGTTCGAAATAATGTCCTCTTACCCTACTTTCACAAATCCTTTATAATGACAATATAAAACAAATATATTTAAATCTACAGTATTGTTTTTCTAAAGTTGTTAAAATATCAAAGGTGTTAGAATTAGCTACCAGTGTTCAGGATTGAGTGTTTAGGTGCTGGGCCAGCAATGGTAGGATGAGTAATCAAAAAATAACATGATCTACCAATTATTATAGATTTTCTTTAGAATGTATTTTTATTGCTTTTGTTTCAGAAAAGTCACTAATTATAATATTTAACATTTTAATATAAATCTACTGACAGTATTGCCAAATTAGACTACCTTTCTTGAATTACTATAAAAATATTTCTTTTTTAAGTTTATTTTGAGAGAGAGTACATGCACATGTGCACGTGGGTAAGGGGCAGAGAGAGAGGGAGAGAGAGAATCTCAAGCAGGTTCCACACTGTTAGCACAGAGCCCAATGTGGGATTGGATCTCCTGAACCGTGCATGACCTGAACTGAAATCAAGTGTTGGACTCTTAACCAACGGAGCCACCCAGGCTCTGCTTCTTTTTGGTTTGTAATTCTTATTTTAATTTAGGGAAACCTCACTTGGCTGACTGTAGCAATTTCAGGCAATAAAATTATCAATGCAATATTTATATCAGAATGAAATCATGTTAATACATGTGTTATAGAAATAATTGTGATGGGGGCACCTGGATGGCTCAGTTAGTTAAGCAGCCAACTCTTCATTTCAGCTTAGGTCAAAAGCTCATGGTTCATGAGATAGAGCCCCACATCAGGTTCTGCACTGACAGTGTGGAACCTGCTTCGGATTCTTTCTACCCCTCCTCTGCATGCACACGTGCTGTCTCTTTCTCTTTCTCTCTCTCAAAATGAATAAATAAACGTTAAAAAATAATTGTGATGGACCAAATGTAATAAATTATAATGGGAAATACTGTATAATATTTTCATGTATCATATACATTATCAGTTTTTATTCTGTCAAAGTAATACCTAGATGTGTACAATTTGTGAAATATTGGTATCACCTTTCACAAATGTAGGCCCATCTATATCTATTTATCATTTATATATCATCTTTTTATCTATCAAGATACTTTAGATTATTCTCAACTATTACTGCAAAATATTCTTAAGCTACTGTTGCAAGTGACTTTAATTTGTGAATACTTCCTGAACCATCAACTGAAACATAAAAGCAAGACAATACACATTTAGTTCTACTAGAAAATAAGACCTCAGTATGCAAAAAAATCTCATTTAATACTTTCTGGAGAAGGATTTTCCACATTGATTGCTTTTTCTGTTATTGGAAAAGAAAGGTTAGGTGGTTGACCTGCAATCCATTTTTCTCCTATTTTCATGGCTGATGTTTGCTTAGAGGTAGACAACACAGGGGACCCAAATACATTTTCTGGTAAACACGTTACTAACAGATATCTAGCCAACTTACTCATAGTATTTTCTAATAAGGAGCCCTTGTCTCTGAGGTGCTTATAGTAGGATGATCCAATCTATACCGGTTCATTTACTCAAGCGTTTCTCCTACCGAGACGTCCTAGCCATCTCATGTAGTCTCTGTTAATGACATCAGCAATGACACAAACTTACATCATTGTGACATTCAGACACAGGTTTCTTCTGTCTCAAGAACATAGGATAAGAGAGCCGAATACATGAGTCACTGCACCCTAGATGGTATTAATCACAAGAGCAGATGTTTAGGGTTATGGATTATGTTTTTCCAGGCTTGAGTGCCAGACTCCCAGTGTGAAGCGCCTATATATTAAATGAACGTAGTTAGTCCTTTTTGTGTGTGTGAAACACGAAGTCTAGGGCCAGGGCCACTCTTGTCTGGATCTCAGGGTGGTATAGGAACAGAAGAGGAAGAAAGTTTTACTTTGAATGAAGAGGAAGTGTTTTTTAATTTTCTTGATTGAACATATTTCAATTAAGCTATATTTTGTGACATAGAATTGCCATATGATATCTATTTAATACTAAATAGAAAAACTAAGGATTTCCCCCCCAGTCTTGCTTCCCAAAGCAAAAGAAGTTGTTGCCACAGTCTAAATTTAAAAATAGTATTGGGAGGAATAGGTAATAAAATTGTGTTCATCATATCACAGAGGCTCTGCACTCAACATACCAGTCATAAAGACAGTATTTTCCCATTAAAGAAAGCAAATGTTGAGGAAAAGAATCATGGAAAGTAAATCTGAAGCCAGATCCTAAGCTCATCCTAGTATGAAACCTGACCTCCTGGTAAAGATTAAATGAGAATCCTGTTTTCATCTTGCTATACTCATTGTGAGAATATTTGTCTTGATTCATCAGGTGAAATTTATTTAAGGGTCACTTTTTTCATGGTTTGTCTTTTTAACCTTTTCAGTGCTTTGGAAGCAGATACTTGTAAATATTGCAACAGAGCTTAGATAAGATATTTCCAATACCCCCTTTGCTGTTCTAGAAATGATTAAGGAGTGAGCCTGCTGACATGGAAAATGGCCAGTGCATGTCTGGCTGGATCAGCGGGAAGCAGTAGCAGCTGGTGAACAGACTGCATTCAGGGGCCCAGCTGGACTCCAAGAGATACGGAAAAGGCTTCTGAGGGCCGGCAGTGGCATGCCTTTCTTGGAGGCCTTTAAAAATCAGATGGGAACCCTTCTGTCTGAGTTGGGTAGGCTGCTCTAGTGCCCGATGAATAGAAGATAGCAGTAAAATGTTCCTGCCAACCATTGAATTTCATGGAGAGTCTGCTATGTGCCAGCTGGTAAAGACACCAAATGGACCAAGCTGATAGCACTCTTGCTCTCCTGGGTCCTGAAGTGCTTATAATTCTCTGAAACAGATACTCAATAATGAATGGGTCTTTGGTAACAAGGACATCTCTCAGTGAAATATTACTCTTCATTTCAGTGACAAGTGGAGGGCTAAGAGTAGCCTGTGTTTTTTTTTTTTTTTGTTTTCGTCTCTGTGTGTCCTAAATCAAATTTCCAAAGTAATGAAGCTTGTTAACATACGAAGAACCCCGTAAGAAAACCATTTTGGTGTAGACTTGGTTCTCAGTGAAGGTTATTGTGGGAGAAGTTTTACTCCATTAAGTTGCAAATCCTAAACTATTATGAATCTTTCTACTGAAGGCATATGCCTAGGGCTGTGCATATCTTTTTTCTGGACATAAAGAGATTTGCTACACAGTGTTAAATGAACCTCACAGGGAACCAATGGAACAGCAAATATCTCTGGCAGGGAGAATGCAATCTAGTGGAGGCATCCCTGCTCAACTCCCACGGTGAATGTTTTTTGCTTTGTTATGTTTTGTTTAAAGAACCATATTATTAAGAGCAACAGAAGCTGAAACCAGAGTGGAGAACCGGGAAATGTAGTCATTAATCGTACTTCTGTTTGTGGATGAGGATGAATTATTGGATAATCTCAAGCACTCTCTGCCTTATGAGGGTTAAACGGCACCTAGATCAAGGATTACAAGTTACATGTTAAAATGTGCCACATTGGCATCAGTACAGCTTTCCTCTGAATCATTTCATTCTCTGTACTACAACTGAAGGTTTCTAGTTTTTTTCCTCCCAGCTACCTGAGAGAACCCAGTGTATGTACTCTCTGGGTAAGAAAAATACTATCCCAGCTTTCAAGTAATTGCTAAATGAAATTTAAAATAGAATACACGACAGTTTTGTAATAGAACTAAGCACCCAAGACAACACACAAAATGAATAAAAA